AGCAGCGAATCCACAAAGCTTCGAGTGGTCTTCGACGCCTCGTGTCGAACATCCAATCAAACTTCGCTCAATGATCATTTACTTGTCGGCCCGACTCTCCAAGATGATTTATATTTGCTGTTGTTGCGTTTCAGATTACATCGTTATGCCATAACAGCTGATGTAACCAAGATGTACAGGCAAGTAAATGTTGATTTAAATGATCGCAAATACCAGTACCTACTCTGGCGAGCTCTTTCAGATGAACCACTTCGCACTTATCAACTCAACACGGTTACATATAGAACAGCCTCGGCGCCGTACTTAGCCATACGCAGCCTGCATTATTTGGCAGATCTGTGTCGAACTGAGTATCCAATCGGTGCTGCAGTCATTGAATCGTCGTTCTATGTAGATGACCTGTTATCTGGAGGTGAGGACATAGAAACTCTTCGCACAATCAAGGATCAGGTCACGGAAATTCTGCATCGTGGTCACTCCCCGTTATCTAAGTGGCATTCAAATCATGCCCAATTTATCGAAAACTAACAGGGATTTAAATACGTGTGACAAAGGATTGACCAGCGCACTTGGCGTCAACTGGAATCAACACACCGATATGCTGCTATTTCACTTCAAACCTAAAATCGTTTCGTCAACCGTCACCAAGAGGACCATTCTGTCAATTGCATCAGCGTTGTTCGACCCTCTCGGACTGGTGTCACCACTCATAATCGTCGCAAAGATAATCCAACAGGAGCTCTGGCTTGCAGGACTTACTTGGGTCGAATCGGTACCACAGCATCTTGAACTGGCCTGGAAGAAGTGCCTGGAATCATTCCAAACCATTTCGTCACTTGCTGTACCCCGGTACTGCAAACAGGTCAACCAAAGCTCATTTCAATTGCATGGGTTCTGCGATGCTTCGATTCGAGCGTACGGCTGTTGCATCTATGTGCGGTCGGAATCTGCTTGCGGAAACATTGTTGTTCGTCTTCTCACTGCCAAGTCCAGAGTGGCCCCAGTAAAGAAGAAATCGCTTCCCAATCTGGAATTATGTAGAGCACATTTGTTGGCACAAGTTTACAACAAAATCAAGTGTACATTCGCCGAAGAGCCACATGCCGTATATTTCTGGTCGGATTCGCAAATTGTTTTACATTGGCTAAAACAACATTCAATCACGATATCGAGTTTCTGAGATACAGGATTTGAGTTCAATCGGACGTTGGAGATTTGTACCAACGGCATCAAATCCTGCTGACATTGTTGCTCGAGGTGCCACCACTTCTGATCTACAATCATCCATATGGTTCTCAGGACCAGCTTTTTTAACCCAACATTATGAACATTGGCCAACATCAAGCAACATCAGCAACATTGATATGCAAGTAATCAATTCCGAACAACGTAAATCTACTTTCGTCGCCACAATGGATCGTAACCATGCCCTGGTGAAGCTAGCGAACATCAGCTCATAAAATCATTGTGTTCGCACTGTCGCTTACATGCGTAAATTCGAAACAACTTTGTCATCCGAGGAACAAGGCAATGCATCCCATTGCATAATTTGGAACATCCAGCAATTATCATTCGTCGAAAACATTCGCCAACTGCAAAAAGATCAACCAGTTAGGAGCCATCTAAATTTTCTCAATCCTTTTCTAGATCGCTCCACAGAATTTTCACTTATCAGAGTTGGCGGCCGGCTAGACAACATTGAGTTTGAGAACTTCGAAAAACATCCGATATTGTTGCCCAGTAAATCACACTTCGTCTAGATCTATGTGCGGCATCTACATCTTCGCAACTGCCATGCTGGACCTAAAGCTTTAGTGGCACTCATTCGATTGGAATATTGGATCGTAAACGAAGACTTGGCACGTCGCATCGTGCGCACCTGCATGGCGTGTGTTCAGTACAAGCCAAAATTGGAAAGGCAGCTTATGGGATCGCTGCCAGTGGAGCGCCTTCGACCGGGACACCCATTTCAACGCTGTGGTATCGACTTCTGTGGGCCACTAAATACGTATGTTCGCATACGAGGAAAGGGTCCCACAAAATCTTACTTTGCCGTATTCATTTGTTTGGCATCCAAGGCGGTGCACATCGAAGTGGTCTCTCAATTATCCACGGAGGCATTCTTAGCTGCACTCAAACGAATGGTTGCTCGGCGAGCGCTGCCCACTGACATCTATTGTGATAATGGAACTAACTTCGTGGGTGCAGCAAGTGAGCTAAAGGTTTTGAAACAATTTTTGTTTGATCAATCTACTCAAGACGCAATATCAGAGTATTGTGCTTCGGATTTCGTGTCGTTTCATTTTATTCCGCCCAGGGCACCCCGCTTTGGTGGACTCTGGGAAGCAGCAGTTAAGAGCGCTAAGGGGCTGCTGCACAAGACGCTATCGAACACTCGCCTAACATTTGAGGAGCTCTGTACAATCACAATCACAAGATCGAAGCTGTCCTCAATTCTCGCCCAATCACCCCAGGACACTTGTTAGTTGGAAAATCTCTTCGGGCGCTTCCTGAACACACAATAGCAACGCCTCATCTCAACAATTTGGAGCGGTTTGACGTGATAACCGCTGCTAAACAGCAATTTTGGCGTCGTTGGTCATCAGATTATATTTACGAGCTTCGTGCTCGAACCAAATGGACATCATCGTCGTCAAATCTCGCTATTGGAACCATGGTCATAATCCATGATGACAATCTTCCACCTCAGCAATGGAAGCTCGGCCGCATCGAATCACTTGTGCCTGGAAGGGATGGTCATGTTCGAGTTGTTCATCTTCGTACAGCCAATGGCATCTGCTGCCGACCATTACACAAATTGGCCATCTTACCGATGGAGGCTTGATGTGTTGAAAGCAGATCCTTTCAAGGTGGCCGGGATGTTTGGTCAAACTAATTTGAATACAACTGATATTGAATGATCAAATGTTAATTTGTCAATTTATCGCTACTTTATATAACTCTGTTAAATCTTATTCACTTATGTAAGCACTACATTGTAATCTTAGTAAATATCGATAGATTTTCACTATCGAAGAGTCCGACTTGGAGATTCATGCAAGCCAGACGCGCGCTTTTGTTTCGGTTATTAATAAACTTGCTAAATTAAATAGTTTAAACACCGCCCAGATCTGAAGTTTCATTTTTGCATAAAAAACGCTTCATGCATCGAACAAATACCCTACTGAAAACAGTTCGTTAGAACATCCGTTTCATCCAGACAGTGAAAGCATTGTGAAAGCATTTCATATATGCCACCATCCTTACGACAGAAGTCAAACATTTTTATGTTTTATTCCTGCTCCTTGGGTCGATCCACATACAGAATCTCCGCATCGAGTTTTACCATTTTCATATTGATCGTATTGCTTTTGCCGATGTACTTGCGCTGTTTGTATACGCACTCCACAAACCACTAGAAAACAGCATCCACTTAACTTAAATATATATATATATTTATACATTGTATTCCTATATACGAGTATAGTCAATTTGAATTTGGGACTCTGCTTTATAAATCCAATTTGTTTGCTTAATTAAATGCAAACAAAATTAATGACTAATTTTACAGACCCACTTGTGTAATGAACCATATAAAAAACAAATCAATTAGTTTGAAAATATTATATTTCAGTAATGCCTCATTAAGGGTGAAAAGGCACCTATATAAGAACCAGAAAATGATCACAAGTTAACTCAAAGTCAGCACAAAAATGAATATTATGATATTGGCATTTCCCATAATATTCGGCTATCTCGTCTGGGTAAGCTTCTGCAAAAGTTGTCAATATATACTACATAATTACTTTTATAGTTCGCCGGCGCTATTCAAATCGACTGCGATAAAACCGATCAAATACACGAGGATCAGATCCACCACTGCTGCAAGCATCCCGATGGACATAATCAGATCATGGCCGACTGCGCCAAAGAGCATGGCTTCAAGTTGCCCAATTCAAATGAACAATCCATGATGGATCTGACTGCTGGACACGCCATTGCCGGCACCTGTTTTGCCAAGTGCGTTTTTGACAAGCTGAACTTCATGAAAGACGATAATCTGGACATGGAAGCTGTGAAGAAGTCCCTACTGGAAAAGCACAGCGATGATCCTGAGTATGTTAACGAAATGATCAGAGCCTTCAATCATTGTCATGGCAAAGGTAAATCTAATAATATATTAGTTTATATTCACATTATATTAGTGAATCATGTAACTCATTTCAGCCGAGGAGAATGCAGCGAAATTCATGTCGAATCCCATTTTCAAGCATATGACAAAAGATTTTTGCGAGCCAAAATCTGCTGTGATTATGGCCTGTGTTATAAGACAATTCTTTCACAATTGTCCATCTTTTCGCTGGGCCAAAACCGAGGAATGTGAGAACCTTTTGCAGTTTAGTCGGAATTGTACCGATTCCATAGCCACATTGTGAGAAATTACGAATTTGTGAAATATCAAAGAACTAATAAAATAACCGCTTACAATTTATGCAAATCTCATGCGATGCCTTACAGATTTTTATTTTTATTGTTGATAAAATGATAACGAATTTTTGAGCGAAGTATTTACTCAGTTTAAGTTTCTTGGCTACATCGGGTTTATTCTCTTAATGAGTGGCAAATGTTACTCTATTGTATGCAATGTAGCAATCTGGCAACTCTTATTTAGTTTATCTTAAGTTTTGCATTGTTCCATCGTTCGTATGAACTCAAATACGAATTTCATATTAGCATGTAATACACTCTGTTTTCGACTGACGAATAAGTCGCGTCGTTAGACAAATAAAAACTTTGATTCCTGCAGAATATCGTTATCTGGTTTGTATACGCTGCGATCGGATCTAATAAATCCAACATAATGTTTTATAATCCAGGCTGTTCTCATATATATACTTTTAGTTTTCTGAGTGAGTTTTCTGTTTAACCTTAAATCTTACAAATATAGATATATTGCTTTTTCAGATATTTTCTGGAGATAAATTGATTAAAACTTTAAATTCAAAGCCAAATACTGCTCTTCTTCTAGTTTATTGTGATTACATTTGCATTTGCAGGACATTTATAGATATTATTTACATAGTAGTTAGCACATCCTTGCATTTCTTGGCGAAGGCCAATGTTTCCAAACACTCATCAGTATTCGACCAACGACTACTGGGACAGTTGTGGAAAAAGTTTTTGATCACACAGGATAGTATAATGCTGGCCTTCGGCTTGCAATACTTGGAGCTGCTGAAGGCCCGCACCGCGTTTGACGATAGAAATTCGGCGGTGGCTTCCTCCTCTGTTGCAAATAATACGGTTTAACTTACACACACACTAGTCGTCATTAGTTGTCAATGCTTACGCTTCGAGTGACATCTATCGAATGCAATCAACATCTCCGTCTCATATTCGGGATCCTGCTTGTGAAAAGTCCTGTAGTGACTGCGTACAGCCTCCATATCCAGCGAGCCGTTCACCATGAATTTGTAATGCTCAAAAACGCAATCGGCCCAACAACTGCCGGTCATCACCTGATCCACAGTCAAATCCTCAATGGCCTCCTCGTTCCTGGTGGGCAGCTTAAAGTTGGTCTGCTTGGCACACATCTTAGTGACATCGTTGTGTCCATCAGGATGCTTGCAGCATAAATGAATATGATTCTCATGAATCCGTTCCACGTGGCGACAGTGCACACGTATTCCAACTGATTGTTGGCCCTGTGTGTGTTATTAAGAATTGATCATTTCTACCTCTTACCAATAACAGTCAGGTCAGTCAATCAATGAGAATAATTGACCCACCAGTAGCAGCTGGATAAGAATTGTGAAACCAATCACAATCAAAACCTTCATGACGACGACTATCTCATGAAGTGAAACTGCCGCCCATTTTATATATGACAAAGCTTAGACCTGGTCATAACGCAAATGAATTTTAACGCATTATAATGGGCTTTACATGGCCAGACGTTAATTTAATTTAATGTTGATTCAAATGGTTGGCCAAGCTTAGCAACCAAAACACAATTGCCTATGTGCATTGCGGGTGAGGGGAGGGGTAGGTGCTTCAGCCAAGGGGTTGTCATAGCAGCTGGCAAAACGGGTTGTTGATGGTTTTATTTTGTATTTGTTGATTTTGCAAGTTGTTCGCTTAATTAGTCGACTACTGGCCTTTGAAATTTGATAAGCGGCTTGCTCCAAGAACCGTTCCAATCAATCGAAACGAATCGAATCGAAAAGCACTCAATCAATCGAAACGAATCGAATCGAAAACCACTCAAAAATGGGCAAAAAGGGTAAGGGCAAGGGCAATAAGCTGGTCAAAATGTCGGAGGAGGAACGTGCCCGATATTTGCAGATGCGTGCCGACATGGAGGAGGAAACGAGGCGGCGCAAAATGAAACTCATTGCACTCTACATGAAGGTATACAGGCCAAATAGATACCCTAACAATTGCACTCTAATGCCGGCTACATTTCAATTCACAGAACAAACTGAAGCGAGAGGATGCCTTTTGCCGCTTAAACATGGCCAAGATCAATCAGGAATGGCGCTCGATATTGCGTCAGGTGAAGATACAGGATTTGCGTAGTGAAATAGTTGATGTGGAGCTGTTCTTCAAGGAGGCGCTGAAGCGCAAGGATCAGGTCATACAGCGTCTCATTGGCGACATTAATTCCACGGAGGAAATGTACGCAAATCTGCAGCAATCACACATGGAGAACATTGATAGAATCATTGGTGAGCTAAGATATGACAATATTTATTTATGAAGAAAAAAAACAAGTTAAAATAATTACCAGAAAAAGAAAAACAACACAACAATCTCGAAGAGTGAACATGCCACGCACCATCAGGTGCCCTGCAGGTACGGTCTTAATCTCGCAACTCTGGAAGCGGAGAGGCACCGCCGCGCAACCACTCTAGAAGCCTACAGAAGGCCTCAGGATAAGCCCAGCTGTCCCCGATCGCTGCTCCGTGCCTATTGGAATAGAGCCCACATTTTTCTCGCAGCCTGGAGTCGGGTATAACCTATCTGTAGCAGCAGCCAAACCGGCAAATTAATTCATTAATTAATTAATGTAAATCATAAGTCCAAACCCAAATCATGCTGCAAAAAAAAATATTACGAAAATAAAGGAAAAAAAATACTCACGAGTTTGTATGAAATAAGGGCATAATATTTAGAAACAAATACACATATAATTAGATGTAATAAGTATATATAAATATATATTAAGAAAAGAAGAAGTATGGTGATATGTTCATAGGCCATAGTCTTTACTTTTTGGTTCAATTGTAACTATTAACCAAGTCAGAACGGATATTTTACCTAACTTGCTTCAGTAGGGTATAAAAAAAAACCAATACATCCTATTACGGAGCTTCAGAATCACAGCTGAGGTCGGTACCCTTTGATACCCCAGCTCTTTCGGGAGGAATGGGAGGGGTTGCTGTGACCTGTGGCTCTATTACATAATGTTTAAATTATTGTAGAGTCCCTTCTGTACTAAATAGGAAGTGCTGGACTTCGAAATGCAAAAAAAAATAAAAAAAATCGGACGAAATACTAATATTAAAAGTGACTGCTCTAATATATGCTGGACTATCTAAATAAATGTAGCGGGATCTCATATGGCATTTTGGTTGGCCCCATATGCTCGACAATTACTCCATCATTGGTTTTACTGAATACATGCTTAATTTTTATTTGCTCTGATTATTCATTTTGGGGAGCGGTTTCTACATCCCATCTTAGTAAAGTTAACACAAATGAGTAGCTTAAAAGATAAAATTGTTATGCAAAGGTATATATAGTTTTGCTTTAAAAAAATGAGCATTAATAATTTAAATAACTCTCTTTTTAGAAATTTCAGCTTATAAATTGTAGTTTTATTTTTTGGTATTGTAAATAATTAGTTTTCCATATTTTGATCCTTTATTTATTTTATTTTTTATAATTGTATTATTATTTTTCCTGCTTTTACAATGTTCGGTCTAGTTTTCTCAATATATTTTAATCATTTTTTCTTTTCATTTTTATAAAAAAAAAAAAAGCTTAATTGAATACAATAGTTGAAGTACAAAAATTAAAAAAAAAATATATAAGTGAATATTCAATTGTTCTTTGCCGAGGGTAATTTTTTTTTTTTTGTATTTTCTTTATCATAATTAGATTTGTTTTATTTCTGGCTCCCCTAGGGCTCCCCTAGGCGAAAGCTTCAAGCTTAGCCTGGGATAAGCTGCAGCCTAAAGCGGATAAAAGTTCAAGCTGATGTGTGTATGTATATGGATCAAGTTTTAATTATTAGTGCGGATTTGGTTTTGTTTTGGTGGTTATTTTCTTTTTTAATGCTTAGGGATTCGTATTAATTTCTTTTTTTTTATGCTTGAATAAAAAATATTTTGGAAAAATTCGGGTGCTTCTCAAATTTGTCTTTTTAAATTGTTAGCTATGTTCCGGGCGAAAGTACGTTTATTGGCACCGAATTTTACCAAATTTCAGGAAAAGTAGATTCTTGACTTACGTTTTTCTCCGATCCGATGAAAAGCCTTCAAGCGATGGGTTTATTTCTTGTAGTCGTAGGTTTATATAGATGTATATTTGTTCTCACTGAAACTTAATTAATTATTCAATCACAAAAAAATTTAATAAGGGGGGGAGTTATCTGGTATTTTTTTATTTATTACTTTAATATGGGATTTTATTAGTCTTGCACTTATACAAAAACACACAGCCGGTCACTTTTATCGATTTGATTTGGAAGTGGCATTTCATTTTTGTTATTCTTTAATGGCATTATGGATATTTAATTTTTCTTATTATTTGTAATATATAACATTCTTACAATTAAGCACTTATTTTATATACAATTTTTCTCTTTTTTTGTTGTTGTTGTAATATATTGTTTTGGTAGTCTGTGTTGGTTTGTTTTAATTAATGGATTAATTAATTCGCCGGTTTGGCTACTGCTGCAGATGAGCTGGCTCCATCTCCAGGGGATGAAAAAAATGGGGCTCTCTTCCTAGCGTCATGTAGTAGCGATCGGGGCAGCGGGCTTCTTGATGGCTTCCAGAGGTTTCTGAAAGGGTCCAGCGGCTATGCCACTCCGCTTCCAGAGGGCTTTGGTTACGGCCGTCCTGGCCGGGCACGTGATGATACGTGGCACGTTCACAAGATATATATGGGGCGGTATAATTATTTTTGTTGGTTCATTTTTTTTCACAATTGGTATAACTTTGTTTGTGGTTTTGGTGTCTTTCAAATTGGTGGGTTTTTTTTGTTCTTTCTTGTTTTAGTATTAAAAGAATTCGGCACTATTTTAATTTATTTTATTTTTGTTCAGCCGTGTTATATAAATTTTCGCCGACCGACGTTTTACTTGCTATTTGCATCCGCACGTTGCAATAATTTTAAAAAGGAGGAGGAGTACTATTCGTCCGTTACAGCGCAGGCGACAAATTTGTCGCAAACGATTAGCGCTGCAACTCTAAATTTTTTTAAGTTGCGTGCTGACCATTACACTGTACAACATATAATAAGAAGAAAACAGTTTTTTTGTTAATCATGTGTGTGTTTTTAAAAGCCCTTAACAATATGAATACAATATAAACGTCATTAAAACAATAAGAAAAAAATAAATATGAAATGCCAGGAAACATAATATACTAAAAGCCCTAAAATACCAGGTAAACATAACAAAAATCATTTACAAAAAAAATATCGATTCTACAAAAAGTTGAAATTACATAAATTAATCGAGTCCTTGTTATTTTTAGCAAATCGTTCCGTTCAAGTGATTTATTTGGACTGAATTCATAAACTCAAGCTTATTATAATTAAATCTCGGTCTGCTTATTCTGCTGACGTCTTTGTCGTTGTCGCTCTGATCGCTGCGACTTTGTCGCTGGCGTTTTGATTGTTGTAACTTTGTCGCTGGTGGTGTCAGTTGCCCGCTCTGTGTCCCACGGTGGTCTTCAAGTGGAATGTGCCGACGGGGCGCGTGTCGTATTTTTCCATATGCCTTAGCTGTGATCGTAGACTTTTCGGCAAAAATATGCTGATGAGGCTCGCGCGTTTTATGACATTTACATGAGTTTATAAGTTTGAGTTATTCGAAATAATAAATGTTAACTCATATAAACAGAAAAAGTAACAAAATTTTAAAGCAATGTGCATAAATAAGCTCAGAACAAAAAAATAATATCGATAAATTTGACACAGGCTGTGTGTATGTATAGTGCAAAAATAATAAAATCTCTCTTTAAAGTCTCCAAAAAATACAAGCTAACTCACATTGACTAATTTTTGTTCATAATTGAATACTGTTCCAACATATGCAAAAGAAATTAATGATTCGCAAACTCTAACGTAAAAATAACCTAAAGAAAAGAGAAACACAAAACCGCACTTATAAATAACCCTTTTATGCATATACATACATACATAAGTTGGCACTTTTATCCGACTTAGGCTGCAACTTATCCAAAGCTACGCTTGAAGCTTTACTCGAGCGGAGCTTTCGGCGTATCCTAAGCTTGGAATGTAGCTTTGATTGACAGAAAGCTTAAAGTCGGTGGCGCATGCGCGATAGATGGCGCAAGCTTTTAGCTTGACTTGTATTTCAATGACAAAATTATGTGCACACTTGAAACTTGAAATTCTTAGAAAAAAAATAAAATTTACAAAAATAATAAAAGAAAATGTATACATAAATTCAATATTTAAACATGGCACACAATAAATAAAGAAAACAACATTAATTATAAACAATGACCCTCGGCAAATAACACTTAGGCTTAAATTTTTTTTATAAAATCAAACAAATAAATATCTAAATATATTAAAAAATCAAGACCCTCACCACAAATCAATAGAAAATTGGGGTAAATAAAATAATTTATTAATAAATAAAAATATAAGAAAAATAAGATAAACAATTACTTGATCATACAAAAATATCAATAAAAATTTAATAAATAAAATGTCAGGAATCGATTGAGTTATTAAAATTATTAATGTTCATTTGTTAAAAATTTAAATACGTTTTGAAATTGATGTTAACTTTTAAGCTGCCAATTTATATTACCTTTTAAGTATATTAACTTTAGTCAACGCTCCAACATGAAGGATTCGAGCAAATAAAATAAAAAATGTGTACCGTTAAACAAATTATGGAATAAGTATTGTGTATCAGGAGGCCGACCGAAATGATAATAGAATAGAACATTTTTTTTGGAAATCTCAAAACTCGCATTCCGAGATTCATGGTTAGGTGGGTATAGACGGCGAGGTTCAATCACCAGCTCAGATCCCCCTAAATTTTGTAGACAGTCCAGTAGATATCAGAGCCTTCACCTTTAATATTAGTTACTTCTTCCAATTTTTTTTATTTTTGCATTTCGAAGTCAGCACTTCCTATTTGATTCAGAAGGGACTCTATAATAAATAAACATTATGTAATAGAGCCATAAGACACAGCAACCCATCGCATTCTCCCGAAAGAGCTAGGGCATCAAAGGGTCCCGACCTCCGCTGTGATTCAGTGACTCCCTGGTATTATTTGTATTTCTCAAAAAAATATATATATTTTAAAGGAATACTGTTTGGTCAAACTAATTTGAATACAACTGATATTGAATGATCAGCTGTTAATTTGTCAATTTATCGCTACTTTACATAACTCTGTTAAATCTATTCACTTATGTAAACACTACATTGTAATTTTAGTGAATATCGATAGTTTTCACTATAGAAGAGTCAGAGTTGGAGATTCATGCGAACCAGACGCGCGCTTTTGTTTCGGTCATAAATAAACTTGCTAAATTAAATAGTTTAAACACCGCCCAGATCTGAAGTTTCATGTTTGCATAAAAAAACGCTTTATGCATCGAACATTTTAGCGCCCAACGTGGGGCAGTGTTTAAACAAATTATTAATAAACAAATAGCAATATCAAAAGGAACATTTCCCGTATTAAAAGCTTGGTCGATGGACAATCTCGAGATTCTTCTAAAAGATCACCAGCGGATCTTCAATGTCGTTTAGGCATTTTGGAATCGTACTTTAAGCAATCGTTGGCTATTCAATCGGAAATAGAAACTCTGGATCCAAATGATAATGGGCGCGCTGTGCTGGAAGACAACTATGTACACATCAAGTTGGCAATTAAGAAATTGCTTGGTGAAGACTTAAATAGTACAGTCATTGATGACGCTACAAAACACGTTGCTTACCATCCTCAACTATCACGTCTGCCTTGATTGATATTTACAGAGACAATATCGTCTATTTTTCAGTTGCTTTCAGCTAGTTCATCAAACGTTCGTTACGATCGATAATTGATAATGCATCGGCATTATTTAGTTCACTTTCGTCCTTGGGCTCTGACATCGATAAATTCTGGATAAATGCGATCAGGAAACTAGAAACAAATGGAATTTATCGCTGGATTATACAACAATCCAGACTTGGGCTCAGTGCGTACAAGTACTGACTCGTCTTTCGCACTTGCTATAGCTGCTTGTGCATTGTGCTCAAGCTCAACTCACAAATTGATGGCTTGCAACGTTTTGATGTCGTCAAACGTCACCGACTGTGTCTTAATTGCTTGTCTAAGGGTCATCAAATGGCCGATTGCCCGTTATCAATCTCAGGTTATTTTAGCAACGGCTATGGTCCTGGTCAGAGATTCAACTGGCACCTACAGACTAGGCCGTGCTCTACTGGACTCGTGTTCGCAGGTGAATTTCGTCACCGATTCGTTTGCTCAGAAGCTTCGTCTAAAAAGAGAGAAACACGATGTGCAAATCAGCAGTATTGGCCATGCACGTACAGACATCACTTCTCTTACAACTACATCATCTCGTTTGTGGCCTTTTGAAGTTTCGTTAGATCTTTGCGTCACCTCGCATATCAGCCGGACATCAACATCGACATTTCAAAATGGAAAATGCCAGAAAATATTGTTCTGGCAGATGAGAAATTCTACCAGTCTCGACACATCGACATGCTTTTAGGAACAGAAGCATTCTTCGAGATTCTGTTAAACTTGGCACAACTGGGCCCATGCTCCAAAAGACGCTGTTTGGATGGGTAGCGTCAGGAAAGAGTCATCCGCAACAGTCTCGAGAGCTTGCTGCGATCACCTTAAACGCTTATGCGAAATTGAATCAACTGAAACTTCAAGCAACATCAGCAACATTGATATGCAAGTAATCAATTCCGAACAACGTAAATCTACTTTCGTCGCCACAATGGATCGTAACCATGTCCTGGAGAAGCTAGCGAACATCAGCTCATACAATCATTGTGTTCGCACTGTCGCTTACATGCGTAAATTCGAAACAACTTTGTCATCCGAGGAACAAGGCAATGCATCCCATTGCATAATTTGGAACATCCAGCAATTATCATTCGTCGAAAACATTCGCCAACTGCAAAAAGATCAACCAGTTAGGAGCCATCTAAAGTTTCTCAATCCTTTTCTAGATCGCTCCACAGAATTTTCACTTATCAGAGTTGGCGGCCGGCTAGACAACATTGAGTTTGAGAACTTCGAAAAACATCCGATATTGTTGCCCAGTAAATCACACTTCGTCTAGATCTATGTGCGGCATCTACATCTTCGCAACTGCCATGCTGGACCTAAAGCTTTAGTGGCCCTCATTCGATTGGAATATTGGATCGTAAACGAAGACTTGGCACGTCGCATCGTGCGCACCTGCATGGCGTGTGTTCAGTACAAGCCAAAATTGGAAAGGCAGCTTATGGGATCGCTGCCAGTGGAGCGCCTTCGACCGGGACACCCATTTCAACGCTGTGGTATCGACTTCTGTGGGCCAATAAATACGTATGCTCGCATACGAGGAA